ACAGGTGTTGAGAATAGTCCCCCATGTGTGGTGCAGAAAGAGGTATTTCATTTGTTGTTCTACCTCTGCTGTAATGGAAGTGTGTTCTCTGAGATCTTGAAAACGCTTTTGATATTTCATCATAAAAGCTTCAATATTCATGCCTTTGTCGGGTTGGAAGGTCCAGAATTGACGAGTGATATTCATGAGATTAATATACCGTTTCGCGAGCGATTCAGTAGCAATTGTGGTGAGAATCGTTAAAGGAGAATTGTGAGGAGCTGTCATTATATGTCATGCAGAGACATGATTCATTCATGAGTTGATATTGTTCAGACGATCATGACTATATCACAACGTCATGTACAGACACGACTCATCGTTTGTACCTGTTGTATCAACCATGACTATGTCTCAGTGATATGAGAAACATCATTGACTAGTTACTAGAAACCTAATCAAGATCCTAAACACACAACTGAGACTAGGAGAATTTTACTGAGTAAGTAATTATTCTGATGAATCTAGATCTGGAGGAACATAATCTGGTTGCTTGGCTCGAGGTATACGAACCTGAGCATATCATGTATTATAAACTATATAGAAATCTATCTCATTCACAATCATCATCTTAATTCATGTCACCATCAAATGCTGCAAAGGACAGTTTAACCATTTCCTTATATTATATGAGGCGCTACTGCTTTCAGTTTTGCAACCCACCAGACCAACCACATGATTGCGGTTTTACTGTTCGGAGGACTGGATAAAAAAACGGCCGATGTCTCGGCGAGAAGCATGAGACGCTGAATAGATTCGCACCAATGAAGCCAATTTGATGTTTTTAAAAATTGGAACAGGCACAATTTTCTCGATGTTACCCAGGCGTTCTGACCCAGTCCAGATTTCTGTCTTTCTATTAAATTCTTTTACCGAGGATTGAACGTCCTCAGCGGATGCGAAAATAAGCCCATTGATGATAATGCCGCTGAAGGAACCAACCTCCGATAAAGACTCTTGATGTTCTACATTTGCCTCTGATGAGAGCTGAATTTTAAAAGATGACATTGTTTAAATGTGCGTTAGTTACTACGTGCACAATAGTGTACGTGAAGACGAGAGCGCGAAAACCGATGTCGTTCGATTTCAATAGAAAATAACGGACGCTGTGTTTGCAGTGGAAGTGACTAGAGGGCCATAACCTGATGTGCAAGAAGCATAAATGTTACATTATATGCTGTTAACTACTCATAAATACAGTTTAAGACGTGGGAGATTACGTGATATATAGAGCTCCCATTACACCCCTCCTATGCCTCCCATACAGCTCCCTTAGAACAGTACCGCCCCTCAAAAGTCCTCATTCGATCATACACTCAGAGGAGCCCTTTGCCCTTCATTATCTCCCCTCTCCAGCCAACGAAACGATGGCCATTTGCGGTTGTATGGCAGCTGGGAAAAGTCGCAAAACCCACTGGGTGCGGAGCTCTCCTAATACCGACATTAGAACTAAATCCGAATACATATCGCCCCTTCTGAAGCGTTCGAAGAGGCCGGCCAGCTGGGCGCTGCAAACTTGTGGGCACCTCAGAAAATTTACCCTCTACCTTTCTATACTACTTCCCGAAGGTCGTGGTGAAATGTCAGAAAAGTCTTGACAGAGCGTGATTGCTGTATGGTAGCTTAGCCCAACTTCTTTTGTACCGTCTAGGGCGCTGAGGAGAGCCGTTGACTCATCGACAATTAAAGTCCTCCTGGCTAATTTGCCGAAATATCGGTCTTGGCGCCCACAAAAGTTCCAAAGTTGAAAACTCCTCGAATATTGTAGTCCCAGAATGGTCTTCAGAGACCTATTCCCCCTCTAGTTCCACATCTCAGCCGCCTCTCCCTCCTCAAGATGTATAACCTCATTAGGGCATCAGTCCCCCGTAAACCAAGACCCCAACTTTGTATATTATGACTTAATTTCCTCATTGCGGGTATACGTAGCGTCGTAAATTTGTAATGAATGAGGCAATCTCCTGTTTGCAATTGGGGTGACGCCTTAATCGGTCGATGAGGCGACATGATATGTGGTTAGAAAGAGATTGAGGACTCAGAAGATAATAGTGAGAGCTGCATGGTTGAGAAGTCGTCAAATGGAAATATGCAGGTGTTTGCTTGCGACTTCGATTCGGATGCGATTCTTCTTGGCTATCCCAGATATGCAGAGCAATCTGAGCGATTACAACGGCACCACTGGAAGGTGAAGAAATCGTATTTGGCGGCTACTGGCATAGGTATCCTTGACCCGTAGGCAGAGAGGACCTGCATGTCCTACAAAGTCATAGACTCAGAAAGGACAATAAAATGAATTAAGAAAAAAGTCCCTGATCACTTCCTCTTTTGTCAACTCAATCGGAGTCGATCCCGCCTCCGTGGTAGAACTAAATATTCAACGCCGGGAATTCCCCGGATTCTAGGCTCTCCTAAAAGAGCCATAGCGTTTAGTAAATGGCTTCATGAAACATGCTTTTTTGAAGCATGCAATAATAACACCAACTAGTACTCCAGACGATAAATCCTTGGCCTGTATTTGCTAGAGCTCAGATTGAAAGACTGGAGGGCAAAACCGAACACCTGTACGCGGTGTCCTCTACGAACCTGGGAGTGAAATATTCTCCCAGAGCCAAGTTCAGTCAAATTTCGCAACATCAAAGAAGTTGGCCCACGAGGCAAAAATTCAAATTATTCCACCATGTCAATCTTTCACTTCCAAAGAGTCCGATTCTCAACTAAGCTTCATCAAGTCTACAAGTACGACCTAGTACATCCTCATCCCAATGATCATACCTCTCGTCGACTTTCTCTGGCCTCAGTAGACCATCAGATACACGCCCACGCCGATATTTATAACCGACGGAGAAACCAATGCGTGGAGCATATATCTGGGAGAAATTTCTTTGGGATGGACGTGAGAGGATTCAGGACAAGTTCACAAGATGATGCGAAGGAAGGATATAACTTCGAAGGGCATGAGATTCCGAATTTTGGCAAGGAGTTTTACGAATTGGGCTTTGTGCGCGCCAAGACTTCGCTTGCGAGAGTGCAGCTGATACTATAAACACAAGCTAACGATGGAAGGTGACGTGGTCCGCCTCCTGGTGGTGATCTCTGGTATAGTTTGAGTAGCCTGGGCACCTACTCCACTTGGGAAGGAGACATCTCAGATTACATTTCGCGCGGAGAAAAGTTGATGGATGACGGAGGCATGTCTGGATAACCGAGGGTTTTTGAGACGTTTCCCTGGGTGGGTATTCACGGATGAGGGTTGACTTGGGGTGAAGAAAAAGCCACCATAACTTCGCAGTGGTACTTGCAAATGAAATCCGAGGCATGAGTGCTCTTTCTTTACGATGAAACATCTATTCTGTACTTTTCTTTGATATTGTGTCATAGCTAGATAGCTGCATACGCAATTAAAATCTGATGCAAAAATAAAAAAAAGGTCTTAATGAAAAGCTATTCTATCTTCATCATCAGCTTAGCGGTGAGACAAAATTTTCTGCGGCCGCGGTCAACTCTCCAAAATGTGCTCTAACACATGCTGAGTCTTTGCTTTGTTCTTCCACAAAAGAATTTTCCAAACGCCGATTACTCTCATATTTTGCAAACCTACAAGACCAAACTAGAATGAGTGACTCCTGCCTTGACTGTATGGTTTTATGTTGCTTCATTTTCCGATTGCTCTTGAAGCCGTTGTAGATTCAAAGTCCACTTTATATTTCCCTACAAACCCTGTGATTTCCTAGGACGCGGTTTTTGTTGCAGCCCTAGCGTCTGGGATGGATGACCATTGTATTAGATAGTTGCTTGCAGCAATACTCTATGTACAAGGGTATATTAAGTAAGCAGATAAGCGACCATGTGTTGATCGCGCCGCTAGCAGTCAGCCTGGATTTCGTCGGATGAAAGATCGAATTTCTTCCGGCATTCCTGCTATCATCTTTGTTCCATGGATCTCTTAGCCCTCAGAATTATCGTTTTCGCAGTAAGTCCGAATTCTTGTTTCGGACCGTTCCCTGAGAAGTCCTTTTGCCCCTGCAACCGAAGCTTCACCGTGGATGGTAGGTACCCTGCAGACGTTCTTCGCTAAAGCTCTGTCATTTCATTTTATGCCCGAGTATCCTGGTACCCATCTTACACTGACTATTCCATGTGCTATGCCTGGCACGCGCGTCATCATTGGAATGATGGGTTACTTTTGATTATGGAAGAAGCTAGTAAGGTTGAGAGAAGCTCGTAGGTACATCCAGGTCTGCTGCGCCCCGCTGGCCGGGCCTCTTCGTAATAGGAGGGCCTGCATCCAAGATTTTTTGAAAACTTTTTCTTCAGCTTCACACCCGTAAATGGCAACTGTTTCGTTGGCGGTAGAAGGGAGTTAATGACGGAGTAACGGCTTCTCTTGTTGAGCACTCAAATGAAAACTTGTGGGGCTATCACTGTTGGTAAGAAGTCGTGATGGAAGCATGATATGGAGGACACTACCCGAGGCATAGATATTCCCGGCCTGCAGCCAGGAAAAACCTATGCCTTTACATAATCATAGAATCATTAAGATAATGAACACAAACAAAAAACTCTAAAAAAATTTGAATGATTGAGACCAAGTAATCAAGTCATTTTACCCAAGGACATCACTTGTCGGGAAATGCTTCTTACTAAGCTGGTTGTATAACTTAAGGCTGTCCACACCTTCAGTGATTGCTTTAATCAATCTGAATTCGCTGAATCGCATCATATATTCTCTACACAGCCTATACTACACTCATACCCTTTTTAACCCTCCGTATTATCTCAACCTTGTGACTCCAATTTCTCAATATCCTAAAATTACGCGATATCTAGCATAATCGATTTTAGTATAATAGAGTAGAGGATTAAGTTCCATCAACACAGCTGCAAAAACGTGATTTACAGATAACGTTATTTGCATCGTGTTAAAGTGTCTTGATACAGTCAAACTTGGAAAAATTACAGACATGCCAGTTAGTCTACTACTAAGATAAATAATAATCTGAACTCAGTTAACGACCTGACAGGAAACGTATAAACCCTCCCTCGATACAATTGAGAGGATATTGGACAAGACCCACTGCAACGATGTTACCCCAAATATAGTACCAGTATTCCGGGAACTATCATCTGATCTTTTGACAGTTTCAGAGGCATATCTTAAGATATGTAGTCAAGCGAAATCTAAGTATACATTCCTTTTTGAGAGTGCAGCGACTGAAAATATCGGGCGTTATACGTTCATGGGTGCATCCCCATGGAAAGTTTTAAAAACGGGGGAAGGACATGGAGATTCCGTGGATCCTTTACCTGCTCTTGAGTTAGAGCTATCTAAAAGACGGATCGCTCAAGTTCCGGGATTACTGTTGCCTCCTTTAACCGGCGGCGCAATCGGATACGTTGGTTACGACTGCATCAGGTATTTTGAGCCGAAAACAGCGAAACCGATGAAAGACATTTTGAAAGTTCCTGAGTCTCTCTTCATGTTTTTTGACACGATAGTGGCGTTTGACCGACTGACGGAACAGATGAAGGTTATAACCTACCTTCATGTTCCCGAAGACCTATCGATGTTGCCAGATGCATACAAATCTGCCCAAGAAATAATTGACTCTGTGGTCAGAACTTTGATTGCTCCCGGGAAGGTACTACCGGTACAAGACTCTATCGTACTTGGCCATCAGTATACATCCAACATCGGACAGGCAGGATATGAGCAGCATGTTCAAACTTTAAAAAAACATATTGTACAGGGAGATATTATTCAAGCAGTTCCATCTCAACGCATCGTTCGTCCATCTTCTCTTCATCCATTCAACATTTACCGAGAGTTACGAGCTGTTAACCCCTCTCCGTATCTATTCTACATCGATTGTGATGATTTCCAGATCGTAGGCGCTTCACCAGAGCTGCTTGTCAAGAAAGAGGCAGGTCGTATTATAACTCATCCAATAGCAGGGACAGTCAAAAGAACTCACGATCCTGATGAAGATAAAATTCTTGGTGATCTGTTGCAGAATTCTGCCAAAGATCGAGCTGAACATGTCATGTTGGTGGATCTCGCAAGGAATGATATTAATCGAGTCTGTGATCCACTTTCAACCACAGTTGATCGACTGATGACAGTGGAAAAGTTCAGCCACGTCCAACATCTTACCTCACAGGTTTCCGGGGTGTTAAGACAAGGGAAAACTAGGTTTGATGCGTTTCGATCTATCTTTCCAGCCGGAACAGTGTCTGGAGCCCCGAAAGTAAAAGCTATGGAACTCATCGCACAACTAGAAAAAGAAAAGCGAGGGGTTTATGCTGGTGCCGTCGGGTACTTTGGCCACAATTCAGTAGACACTTATGGAAACGAGACCGAAGGTGAAATGGATACTTGTATTGCATTGAGAACTATGGTAGTTAAAGCCGGACAAATATATTTACAAGCAGGTTCGTCAGATCAGTCTCATTTACACTCATTCAACTTTTCCTGTGGTAAGAACTGCTGATAAACAACTAATGTCACATTTAGGCGGCGGCATTGTGTTTGACTCTGACCCCACTGATGAGTACGAAGAGACAATGAATAAGGCTCGCTCAAATATAACTACTATTACGCGTGCAGAGAGACTTTACTCTAGCCCTAAGTCATCTCAAGGAATAAGTTAACCGTAATTTTCTCAAACAAAACGTAAGATTATTTGATACTAGCCCTCAAGGCAAGCTACGACTATTGTTCAATGGGGGAATAAAAAATCAAAATTATGTCAATTTGCTCTTTAGCTTTTGGCTAATTCCATGACCTACAGTGGGATCAATAGATATTATTTTGACGGTAGTTAAAAATAAACTGAGAATGTTTATAGGGCTAGATAGATCTATACAAAAATACATTCATGTGATATGATCAAAAGTACGGTATATTATTTTCATAATATTGGCCAGCTAAGTTTGAAGAAGGTTTGCACAGCAAATAAGTGAGGGTGTTTATTTGTCATTTGAAGTAGGGCGCTACTAGGGCTTAGGTTATTTGTCCTTTCGCAGTAGATGGTAAGATAGTTTTGGAGAGGGCCACGATATGAGCTTAATACGGAATTATTTTCAGGAAAAAATAAGATTTTGGAGGTGTGAGTTGTAGTAATATCAAAGTCAGTCAGGTCTGAGTCTACCTGCAGTACGTATCTGGGGTGAAGACTTTGTATTCTTTGGATTATGCGAGTGTGAGATTTGTGCAGGACGAGTATTCGCCAAATATACTTTCCAACGTCACTCCTCCACATCGCCATCTCAACGAAAATTTGAATACGCTCTTTGTCGTGGCTGGATGTTGACCTTTGGAGAATATTTAACTCCCGTTTTCGGAGGACGCGATGGACGAGCGATCAGCTTTCGTTCTCAGTACGGGAGAGGTATAATTTGTATATGTGAAAAAAAGCCTATGCCCTCTGGGATATTCAGTCTCATGAAATCTTTCCCAGCTACAATTAGGCTTGATGCAACATCACACGAGAAAGCGCAAACTTGTTCTAAAGTCTTTCTATCAACGAGATTTTGATAGCTTCCTGTATCGAGTTACAAGAGCTTTAGTCAAACATGATCATCTCTAAACCTTTACACAACGGGGGTGGGTTTGTGATTATTACTAAAAAACCCCCGAGGCGTTTGGAGAACTTATAAACCCTGTATTAGTTATTCAATCTTAGTCTGCAGATGAGCCTGGCAGTAATAAATCCATCGGAGCTAGGCAGCAGAATTATTGGACTTTACTTAGAGGAATAATAATACACATTTGTTTGTTGATGAACAAATCATCAATCAAAAATGAATTTCAAAGATACAACCCCAAACATCCACCGTAACCTAATCAGGGTTCAAAGCAATGTGGCAATTCAGCTAAGAAACGAGCATATCAGGCTCGGTTCGTACCTGTGCAGAAGAAAAGTGCACGGAGGAGAAAAGCAAAGCTACCATTGTGGATATCCGTCACAAAACGTCAAGCACAGGTATTGGCATGTCCACAGTGGGCAAATGGAAGAGGCGACTTTCTCCGATAAGCTAAAGGCAGGTCATTTGAAGCAATGATTAACAGGCCAGAAGTTGTGACTAGAATTACACAGTAGATACTAAGCAAAGGATGGATAAATTAGTTTCGACTTGCAGGGGAAGTCGAGATAGCAGTATCGGATAAAACAAATCGATCTGGAAGGGGAGAGGACGGAATCCACACTAGCTGAACATAGTAAACTGCACTTCCTGAAGGTAAACTAGACAGATTGATGGTAATATATACAGTCAGGATCAGGAGGTTTTCACCAAATTGGTTTCCTCCTTAGTAAGTTAGGAAGATAGTCACCTCCATGGAGCCATAGGGTGCCTGATCAGGTCAAATGAAATCAGATTCAAAAGAATACACGATTATTTTTAACAAATACTTTATTGAATCTATCTCCAGTACTGCTGTGTGATTGTATGTGTTTATTGTACTACTTGAGTCTGACTATCTAACGCCTTAAGCTCCTCTTTGCCCAGGCCACACTTTGAAGAGTGCTCCTCACCTCTCATGTTTTTTGGAAGATCACTGATATGTTGCCCTCAATGAATTACCATTCAGCTCAATATTTACCCGTGGAATATTGTAGAAGGCTAAGATTAACCACTGAATAGTTTGGACAGAAAACTGTCTCGGGTCAAAAATTTGGACTGTCCATAAGTACGTGGATTGTTTGCTTTTTTATGTTCACTTGATGTGTATTCAGCTTTCTAGCTTTGACACATAGCCGGTGCTATGTATACTTGATGGATGACTCTTTTGACTTGAGGGACCCTAATACTCTAGATTTCACTCGCAAACACCACTATGAGGTATGTTAGCTTACACAAACAGTGGGCCCTCCTCCATGAATACATACCAAAGAGGTATTAAAAACCTCTAACTATCGAAGCATGCTTTCGTCATTTATGAACACGAGCGCCGCGAGAAATGTGGTTATGTTTTGCCGGATTCGAACCTGCGATCTCCTGTCTCGAGTGGGATATATGTCCAAGCTATCAAGACTCTACTTGGGAGGCCGGCTAGGATAATATACCACCGCACCATCCGACCGTAGCGATATTTAAGGTGTCGCTTGCACCCTCGCAGTCGATATCTGGGTGCGAACAAGGCTCTTATTGTAAAACTCCATACCAAAATTCAAATTCTCACCCCTTCCAAGATCGTATTCTAGCTTTACATCATCATGTGTAAATCTGTGCCAATTTCTCTCACGTTCATCCCAAAGATCTGTCTCTCAAATTAAATCGCGACGCTTTGCTTCATCCGTCAAGTGTAAATTTCAGCGTGGGCATGCATTTAGTGGTCTGCTGAGGCCAGAGAAAGTCTAATAGAGGTGTTACTGAAATGCTGATGTACTGGGTCGTACCTGCAGACTTGGTGAGGGCTCGGCCACAGTCGATCTGGTAGTGAGTGAAATATTGATTTGGTTAGGAATAGTGAATCATTGTCTGGAGCGTCAGCTTTTTCGGCATTGCGACATTTGACTGAATTTAGCCCAGGGAGAATGTTTTACTCCCAGGTTAGTAGAAGGCATCGCGTACAAGGGTTCAGACTTGCCCTACTTGGTCAGTGCTTGTAGTCGATATTTAGTACCGCAGTTTATCTTTTCCAAGCGCATGTCAATATTGAGAATTCAAGAGATCAAGTCAATCAAGATCAGTGTATGTAGTCCTAGATTTCCGAGATAAATCGGAATCAAGTTGTTTTCACTGAGTCATATTTTTCTCAAATTACAACTATACTTTGATTACTATGGATCAGGCTCCCGGTTGCCTCGCAAACCCAGTCACCTCTTCCGCGGGACCTTCTGACCAAAAAAAACTGGTATCATAGATGTAACAGGTTACATAATACGCTTATATACTGAGATCTAGTAGCGCGGTAATTTTGAATGTACGCGTTGTAGATTGGAAGACAATAGAATACTTGCGATCTCCCACAGCCCCTAAATCCAACGTATCTTGGGGGGCTATTCTCAACATCTGTCAGTGGTGTCCCCTACGAACCTCCAGCTCTCAGTGTAGAGTCTGCAGAGCCGAGATTGAGTAGCACCTTATCAACTTTGAGCTGAGTTATCTCTCCCTCCGTCAAAGATAAGCTTCCGATAACACATAAGACGACCAAGACGATGATAATGATGCTGGGAATGAGGAAAGATAATGCGGTACCAAACGCTACAACGGTAGTCAGAGAAGCCCTCGTTACATTACAACATGTGCTACCCACCGGCGGGCAAACAAAAAGCCCACGAAAGTAAAGTAAAAGACCCTTCCGCCCTCAAGAAAAGCAGATTTCGACTCGTAAACAGTATCGTCCCTACTAATCTATACCTCCGAATCTACCAGCCAGGAGGGCATCTGAAATACATGAGTTACTCGAAAACCCCACGTCCGTAACGACTTTTGGATGCTAGGCTAGGCTCCTTCACGACTGTCACTCTCGACCAAGACTTTTCTAATATCCTTTCACGACCTTCGGTTTGTCCTGCGGCATGAATCAAGGGAGGAGTAATGAGGATGCTAGGAAGGTTGAGAGACGCTCTTAGGTATACACAGGTCTGCTGCGCCCGGCAGGCCGGCCTCTTCGTCATAGGAGAGCCCCGCACCCAGTGGTTTTTGAGAATTTTCCCTGCAGCTACACACCCGCAAATGGCCATCGTTTAGTTGGCTGGAGAGGGGAGATAATGACGGGATAACGGCTCCTCTTAGTGTGTACTCGAATGAAGACCTGTGGGGGTATTACTGCTGGAAAGAAGTCGTGAGGGAGGCAAAGGATGGAGTACACTACCCGAGGCATAGATACTCCCGGCCTGTGGGCACAAAGGACCTACATGTCCTTACATAGTTATAGACTTTTTAGGACAATAAACAACCACTCACTCACCACTCACTCCACCGTATCTTTGTGCCAGCGGAAATTGCGTCGGCGAGAAAGTTTATCTAAAAACCTGCAGCTCCAGCCAGGCGGGGCCTAGACACCAGGACCACATGAGGTGCGCATATTCATCTATATTTCCCTTCTTTGTAACAGTAGAGGTCGACTTGATCCAATCCGCCATTTCCATATCGGGTGCTGGTTACGCTCCGGAAACTCATCGGATGGCTTTTCCTCCATGATAAAGGGTGGGCAACGAGAAGGGTTTCGACCCTACAATTTGATCTGATCGTGGTTAGCTTGATGATAATGGTAATAGGGGAATGTGTTGAGAGATGAAGACGATACAGACCGCGAAAGCGATTGAGAATCCTCGTCGAAGTGAGGACTTTGTTACTCAATCTCGGCTCTGCAGACTCTACAGTGAGAGCTGGAGGTTCGTAGGGGACACCACTGACAGGTGTTGAGAATAGTCCCCCGACTTGATCCAGCCCACTATTGCCGTATCGGGTGTTAGGTACGCTCCGGAAACTTATCGAATGGCTCACTCCCTAGAGTCCTGGATGGTACAAAGGAGTTGGGCTAAGCTACCATACAGCAATCACGCTCTGTCAAGACTTTTTTGACATTTCAGCACGACCTTCGGAAAGGAGTTGGAAGGAGGCTAGAAAGGCAGAGTGTGAATTCTCCGATGTACACTTAAGTCTGCAGCGTCCAGCTGGCCGGCCTCTTCGAACGCTCC